AGTACAGAAGAGAAGAAAAGAAAAGAGGTAATGGGGAAAAAGAAATATTAAAAGAAACAAAAGCTAAGAATTTTCCAAAACTGATGAAAGACATCAACCTACATATCCAAGAAGCTCCGTGAACCACAAGCAGGATAAATAAGAAAACCCCATGTAGGGACGTCAAAATCAAACTGTTGAAAATCAAAGATAAAGAGAAAATTTTAATATCAGCCAGCAAAGAAAACTATATTTTATTCATGGAAAAACACTAAGAATGATAGCTGTCTCTCATCTGAACCATTCGAAGGCCAGAAGACAATATAATGACATCTTTGAAGTGCTAAAATAAGTGCCAACCTAGAATTCTGTAACTAAAAATAATTTTTTAACATGAAAATAAATACATTTCAGACAAATAAAAACTCTGAGACTCCACTGTCAAGACACCTACACTTGAAGAGTGGCTCAAATTCTTTCCTGAAGATCTGAGTCTCCGTCTGGTATGACTTTCCCATTAGCCTGAAAAAACTTCCTTTCTCCTTTCTTCTTGTGTAATTATGCCGCTAACAAATTCAAGAGTATAAAATTAGACTGTTGTAAGTTAAAGATTTCAATTAGAATATTATTACCAAGTAAGTATAGCTAAAAAGCCAATTGAAGAGACAAAATGAAATACTGAAAATTACTCATTAATCCAAAAGAAGGCAGGAAAGATGTAACAGAGCAAAAAATAACAGATGGAAAAGAATATAAATAGCAAAATTGGCAAATCGAATCACATCAATAATTACATTAAACTAAATGGATCTTTCCCTTCTTTTCTTTAAGAGAGATTTATTGCCCGTTTTTTTCTACCTTCCTTCCTCTATTCTTCCTCAGAAAGCCATCAGGCAGACAAAAAAAGGTAGGCAGCCTGGGGAGATAGTACCAGATTGGGGCAGGCCCAAGAAGACACAAGGATAAGGGTAAGCAGACAGGCCCAAATAGGGTCTGGAGCCTGTGTATCAGTGTGTGTGTGGTGGTCATGGTGGTGGAGGGCAGTCTGGAGGTCAGCAGAACTGAAATGAAACTGGAGACATTACACCTACTCCTCACTTATCGACTATCTTGTTAGCATACACTCCACATTTAAAATATTTTTAAAAATCTACTTAAATTATCTTAGAGCCAGGTACGGACCCATACACAGTTATACTCTGCATACATGGGGACAGCGACTAACAGCAACAACAAATTTTTTTCACTATCATTCTTAAGGAGCCCTGGTGGCAAAATGGTTAAGTATTTGGTTGTTAAGCAAAAGGTTGGTGGTTTGAACCCACCAGCTGTTCCACAGGAGAAAGATGTGGCAATCTATTCCTATAAAGATTACAGCCTTGGAAACTGTGGCAGTTCTATTCTGTCCTATAGAGTCACTATAAGTTGGAATCAATTTGATGGCAACAGGTTACCAGCACTCTAATTTAAAGTGCCATTTTTATCCTTTTTAGGTACTAACAAAACAGAATAAGATTATGACTGACCAAGAACAAAACGTGAGCCAGTCAATCTACATATATGTTCTCATATAGATCTAAGTATATGCTCTCACATATACTTTTCATATACGTCTTTGGTGAACACATACATGCATTTTGGGTGGACATTTACCTGGGAGTGACATTCCAGGTAGGTGTGGATTCAGCTTTAGTAGATGTTGCCCATAAGGTGGTTTTTTTTTTTTTTAAAAAGGTTAATGCTTATTTTTATAGTATCCTTTTACTTGGTTAGCTCTAGTAGGTAGTGCTTAAGGCATTTGACTGCCAACCAAAAGGTTGGTGGTTCAAACCCACCAGCTGTTTCACAGAAGAAAAATGAAGCATCTGCTTCTGTAAAGGTTTTACAGCCTTGGAAACACAATGGGGGTCACTATGAGTCAGAACTGACTCGATTGCAGTGAGTTTGTTTTTTGGTTTTTTACTTGGTTGGCCCAAAGATGTAAAGTATACATTATATAGAATACGTCTTGTACATAAAAGTGTCATAAGGAGGCTCTCATGGCTTCTGTTTTTTTCTACCTTCTACTGAAAACAGCTCCAGCCAGATAATGTTGCTTTACCTTTGTTCAGCTCCGTTTGGTTCCAAGGTTGTTCACTGATGCTACCTTATTTGAGAGGAACCCAGCAGAGCTGGCAAGACAAGTTTAATTCTGCTTTTAAACTTGCTAAGAGGATAAGTAACTTTATGCTATTTTGTGCAACAAACGCTTTAGAGGCTGGGAATAGTGACATAAACACATTAGTGTCTCTTGAGCCCATAAGGACCTGTCTATCCTGACCCTTTCTCTCTAACACTGCACTGTCGGGATCTACACCCTCTCCCCCACAACACCCCCTCCTGACAGTCGAGGGATCCCTCCTTCCAATCGCAGCTCCATCCCCGTCTTGCTTACCCAATTTCTAGGGAACTTTGAAGTCTTTGGAGACATTTGTTGTTGTTGTTGTTGTTATGTGCCGTCGAGTCAAACCCGACTCATAGCGACACCTCCTTGGGTTTCCGAGGCAGTATCACTACGGAAGTAGGATTGCCCAACCTTCCTTCCGAGGAGTGGCTGGTGGGTTTGAACCGCCAGCCGTCTGGTTAGCAGGCAAGTGTCTTAGCCACTATGCTACCAGAGGGTATGGGAATTTTTATAATATTCATTTTATTTGCTTTAAACTTTTTTTCAAGTACAACATGTTGTTGTTGTTATGTGCCATCGAGTCAGACCTGACTCATAGCGACACGTCCTTGGGTTTCCCAGGCAGTATCATTACAGAAGTAGACACAGCCTGACAAAATTTTACAAACTAAACATACCCATGAAACAACGTCAGCACCTGAGGCCCTCATACGCGCCCTCCTGAAAGCTATCTACTATCCTGACTTCCAACAGCAGCAAACAGTTTTATCTACTTTGGAATCTGATATTCATAGAATCCTATCATTTGTGCTTGGCTTCTTTTGCTCAGTGTTACTTTGTGAAATTCATCCATTTTGCTATGTGTTCAGGTTGGTTCTTTTCCATTTCTACATAGCATCCCAGTGTTTGAATATACCACAACGCATTTATTCTGTCTACTATTAATAGGCAATGGGTTGTTTGAAGTGTAGGGGCTATTAAGCAGAGTTTTCTCATACACATCTTTGCATATATTCTTATATTTATTTTCTCATATACATCTTTGGTAACACACATATGCGTTTCTGGTGGACATTTACCTAGAAGTGAAACTGCCAGGTAGGTATGTATTCAGCTTTAGTAGATGTTGCCCATGTTGTTGTTCTTATGTGCCGTTGAGTCAAACCTGACTCATAGCGACCCCTCCTTGGGTTTCCGAGGCAGTATCACTATGGAAGTAGGATTGCCCAACCTTCCTTCCGAGGAGTGGCTGGTGGGTTTGAACTGCCAGCCATCTGGTTAGCAGGCAAGTGTCTTAGCCACTATGCTACCAGAGCTCCCCATAAGCTTTTCAAAAAGGTTTACCTAATGCTTATTTTTATAGTATCTTTTTACTTGGTTGTTAAAAGATGTAAACCATATACTACTTAGAACATGAGTTGTCCAGGAATGTATCACAAGGAGCCCTCAAGAAAGAGGCTTCTGAGTCTTTCTATGTTCTCTAGTGACAACAGCTGCTACAGAGAGGAACAAATACATCTTAGAAACTTGGGATTCTATGGTCAGTCAGTCCAATTTCCTTGCAACCGTTCAATCCAACACCATCAGTAAAGAGGGCTGACTGACCTCCTACAGCTGCCTGTTTCACAGCTCAAGTTTTAGAAATCCCTTTCTCCCCTTAATTGTCTAAGCATAGGCCCAGTTCTACCCTCTAAACCCTTTCTCTAATGCAGTCCTCTGAATTCTGACAGAGGTACCACATGCCCCATCTTCCCTGCTCCAAGCTGAAGTATCCAGAACTGAACTAGAGATCCTGGATAGAGCGAGAGGAAAAATGTGGAACAAAATTTAAAAATACAAAAATGACCAAGATTACTAGTCAGATAGAGACTGGTGGAACCCCTAAGACTATGGCCCCGGGTTATCCATTTATGAAATGGACTCACTTCCGTGGATTGGCTCTCAGCCCAACAGTAGAAAGACCTATATGGAGAACAACTACCCCAGGGAGATGCACCCACCTATACTCTAGGGAGATTCACTCCTTAGATCAATCAGCTAAGACACCAGAGGGGCAGTATTCACACAGAGGAAAAGCCAGATAAACAGAAATGCACAGATAAGAAGGGCACAGGGAGGAGTAGACAGGGAGGAGAGGGGAGGAGAGTGTTTTTTATGGTTGGGGATAGTGATTGGGGCCGTGAAATCAAATGTGCATGAATTGTTGCATGTAAAACAAATTTGCTTTGTAAATTTGCACCCAAAGCACAATTAAAAAGAAGAAGAAGAAGAAGAAAAATGAAGTACCCAGAACTGCTCCCATAAGCAGATAGGACCTGACTAAGCTAGGAGGCCAAGGTCTAGTCATGGTTCCAGACAGACCCTTCCCACCTAGAGGGCTGCATGGCCCACATCGTCAGAGTCCAGAGCTTGGGACATTCAGTATAGTGCTTGGAGCTTGGGGTTGCAGAAAGACTTTTCTAAGTCTTAATAGATCTTGGCCAGGAGATCTGGCTACTGCGGACAAAGCAGACAAGCAGGAACAACTAGCCTCCCAGTCTATAAAACCAAACCAAACTCACTACCATGGAGTTGGATCCGACTCATAGCTACCCCTCCTTGGGTCTATGCCTGCTCATAAATGACACTTGGCTTACTTTCTCATCCTGCCACCAGGGGCCAGCCTCTATCTCCTTCTGGCACAGCCTCTATCTCTTTCCTCTATCTCTTATCTCCTTACAGCCCCCTGTAATTGAGCCTCAACAGACCATGTCCTGCAGCCCTGGCCTGAAGGCCAAGAAGGGGCTCAAGTACCTCAGGGTATGAGCTGGGTTCCAGGACTCAACACTAGAACATATCCCATCAGCAGCTCACTTACTGACTTGATAGCCCAGGCCCTCGGCGTGAATCCTCTTGGCCATGAATTGTCCTTCAATCAGTGCTCGAATCTCCACATCCCTAGGAAATGCTGACACCTGTCTCCAGGAGAAGGTGGGAACAGAGTGAGGAACTCATATTGTCCTTTCATGTATGTGTGTGTCATCTTTTTAAGCAATGACCCAGATTGGGAACTCATGACTCAGGGCTCCAGTGGAGCTCCAAATGTAGTGGGGCTCTTCAGACAATACCTATGTCTGTCTTACACACACACACATGCCTCTCCTAGATCTATCACTTTGGGGAGCAAGAGGCCTCATAGAGCTCAATCTCCTTGCTCAGACAGTCATGAATTCAAATTCTTACTCTGCCTTTCCTCTCTATGACCCTGGATACTTAAATTTAGCTGTGATTGCCTTGGTTTCTTTCTTAATGTAACTGAGGAAACAGCGGTATCTGTCTTACAGGTTGTCATAATGATAAGTTTAGACAACAGAGCCTAATATATGTAATTGGCACTCAACAGGTGGAGCTTATGCTTAGAATAGCCACAGCAGTGAAGAAGCCTTCACACTAACTCGAGGATCACCCTGCCTTGCTAGGCCCTGAGGTCCATGGTGGTCTGCCACTCTTCTCACAAAGGCTCCAACCTTATAGACCTACTTTCACTTCTTCAAACTGTCTCCTTACGTGGAACTCTGCCCCATGCTTTCCATGGTGGGATCCTTCCCAACCTTCAAGTTTCAACCAAAAGGCCACCTCTTCCATGATGCTGCTCCTGATCACCTGTCTAGACTAAGTCCGCCAGTCCATCCTGTTTTCTCTTGTGGCACTTTGTTCGTTTCCTGCCATATCACACATTGTACTTGCTTATGTATCTGTTCACCTGTTCACTGTCCATCTCCTTCCTAGACTGTGGGTTCCATGAGATATGTGTCTCATCCTCCTTTGGGTTCCCAATGCCTGACATCAAACATATATATCTGGTGACTGGATAAATGAATGGAGGAAGATGAGTACTTTATCCTTGACAAATCTGGAACAGATTTGCACAAATGAACAGGCCTATTTCCTCTCTCTAGAGAGCAACAGGAATCAAACTGATTCTCCATCAAAAGATGGTGATGAACTCCCCATACTTTATATAAAGCTTTCCATTAGTAATCCTAACATCAGCCACACAGTCCAACACCAACTCTGACTGTTACACTTCCTAGATAGAGTGTCTTACTCAAACTCCCCAAACATTTGTTAGGTTCAAAAACATCCCTCAGGTCTAATTCACAATGTGATTGTGACTCTGGTAACTGAAGAGTGAATTCAAACAGCAAGTCCCTAGATCCCTCCTGGGAGAGGTCACATGGTGCAGGGGGAAAAACAGCAGCTTCAGAGCCAGAGAGGACTGGGTCTGAGCTGCCTCTCCACTACCTATGACTTTGTGACTTTGGGCAAGCCATTTAACCTCTTTGAACCTCAATTTCTCCATCTGTAAAGTGGGATGAGAATGCCTATCTCAGAGTTGCTCTGACAAGTAAATGAGAAAGACATAGAAGCCCACCAGCACAGTGCCAGGAACCAAATAGCACTCAATAAGTTAGTGCCTCCACTGGCCCAGAGGGACTTCAGTCAGGGGGAAACTCATGGTCTCATGGCTGGTATATGATGAGCACTGAGACCATGTGGTCACTGAGAAGCTAGCCTTTGGGTTTTCTGCACTGTTCTTTGAGGGAAAGGATGATGCCTGTCTTGGATCCTGCTGATTGCCCAGCATCTAGAATACATCCCACCTGGTCCATCAAAAACGTTAAACCAATGGATGTATGAATGAACGAAGTCTCCAAAATGAATGTAATTTGATAAACAATTATTAAATTTAATACTCAAAAATGGAGCCAGTTCAGCATCAATACCAATAACACACATACCTCACAGTTGTCTGCATTAAACCTATGACGCCCAGTAATTTCTGGGGTGATCTCCATTACATCAAAATAAAAACCTGAAACAAGGCCAGGAAGGGATTAGCTGTCAGTGGTCAGGAACAAAAGATCAGCTTCTCAACAGTCTCAGACAAGAGGACAATGAAAGGACCCCATACCACTGTGTCCCCAGGCTCCTTCTGGCCCCCACACCTTGGAATGCTCCTGGTTCTTCTTTCCAACAGGATGGTGTGTGTGTATGTGTGTGTATGGGCGGGGGGGTTAGGCACTGAATGGGCATAGGCTAGCTTTTCTTTGTGACAACTCTTCCTACTCTTAACTGGCAGCCTAGGTCAGAAAGCAGCTGCCCAACACTGGAACATACCAGCCAGGTTTTAACTAAGGGAAGCCTAGCCTTTCCCTGCCCAGAGGCTGCCCCAGACACTGGGTACTTATCCCAAGAGAACTTTGTGTCTGGGGAAGAAGCTATTAACAGGGCTGCACCAAGTACAGCAAGTGCTATGGCTGCTGTCTCTGTGGCTTTGAGAGGGATGAAGATATAGCTATGGTCTGATCTACATTCTGTGCACAGAGGCAGCCATAAGCATCCTTAAGGCCCCACTGCACCCACAACATGGGGTCCCATACCAGCATGCAAGGCCTGTGGAGCAAATGTGCAGACAGACAGGGCCCTCCTCTTCACCAACCCATGGGACCCAGGCCCTGCCCTCCAATAGGCAGCTGCTGCCCTTTGCAGCCCAGGCATCACTGAACAGCCTACCCAGGTTTCCACCGTTCCCCATCTCCGTGGTCTGCAGTGCCTTAGAGAACTCGCTCCAGGAGCAGGAAGCTGACTCATCACGGATCCTCTCTCTCATCAGGGAACCATTTTTAAAGCTGCAGAAACACATGCACCAACTCTGAGGGAGGGACTCAGTGCCTGCTGACTGGAAGCATGCATTTTGGTGAAAAGACCCAGGAGAGGGGCTGCAGGTCAGAACCATGACCTCTAGCCAGTATATATAGACATCCTGAACCACCGACCCTCAAGTATTAGGGATCCTGTGCCAGTCCCTAGAAGATGCATCTGTTCTGAATTCTGTTATAGGCAAGGCTACCACGAAAGAGCCCCAGGTAAAGACAATGTTTCCACACATTGTACCCCTTGTACATTGGGGTGGGGCTGATTAGATTTATGAGTCCCTGGGTGGTGCAAACGGTTAAATGCTTGGCTGTTAACTGGAAGGCTGGAGGTTTGAATCCACCCAGAGGCACCTCAGAAGAAAGGCCTGGCAATCTATTTCTGAAATTCAGCCATTGAAAACCCTGTGGAGCACAGTTCTACTCTTGACGCACATGGGGTCAATATGAGCCAGAGTTGACTCAATGGCAACTGGTGGTAGTGGATGGTGCTAACATATTCTCCAGTGGTTTTGGGGGGCTTAGAAGGTCGAGAAACCTTTCCCATCAGTGGTTTCTGACAGGTGTTCACAGGCCTGTGGTGAGACCACAAGCATGGCCCTTCCATGAGAACTGTCAGGAAGCAGGTGTTCTTACTCCACTTATGAAGAGTCTACCATGTGTCAGACACTGTGAAGTAAACACTCTGATCTTCCCTGCTTTACAATGAGGGAAGAGTGGCTCAGATATGTTATAGGGCTTGCTCAAGGCCACATGGGATACAGGCGGTAGGGTAAAGATATGAACCTGGGACTGAGAGACTCCAGGCTGTGATCTTCCCCACCCAGCTCTGCTGTTGGCAGGAACCAATGGGTCCCTGGGAGGTCTCACCTACTCACATGAGCTTGCTTAGTGGAAAGACTAGGGGTGTTCAAGATGATGCCAATTCTGCCCATGCCTCCTTCCTCCCACCCTAGAGGTGGAGCCACCAACACACAGGCCTACCACAGGAGCGCCATGTAGTGCTGGGAGTCAACTGGGTTGCAGAAGATGTGGCCTTCCAGGGAGGGCATGGGCTCTTGGAGCCAGAGAAATAGGGTATCACTGGTGCCCAGGCTCACCTATGGAGAGATGGGCAGAGATGAGATGTGCCAGGCTCCTCCTGACTTGTCTTTGCCCACACAGGTGGCTCTCTGTTCACCACCCTGACCCCAGCACTGCATATCTAACACTGTAGGCCTTTGGTTCAATGCCACTTTCTCAAGAATCTCTTCTGACCTTCCCACACCAGATGAGTTCATGGTCAGCACTAATAAAGCCTGTATGCTGACTTTCCAGAACTTCCATCTAAATAATGCTTTGGGTGATGACTGGTTCCCTAAACTTTCCCACCAGACATTGTAGGTATAGGTCATGTCTTCCTTGTTCATCCAGGGAGCTCACAGCCTCTCCTCAATGTTTGGTCCTTCTGCCACTGTGCCCCAAGACTAGCCACTCAGCAAAGGGCAATAACTTTCTAAGAGATTTGGCCAAGTCCTGGGTCTCTCCATCCCCTCCCTCAGCTGCCTTTTGGGGTTGGCAGACCCTTTGTTAAGCAGCAAAGATGCTGTTAAAACCCAGCACCCTTGTCCCCCAGGGCAGAAAGAGTATGCTCTGGCCGTTGAGTGTGAGAAGATGTCACCTTACCGCAATGTCACCTTCCTCTAGCCGCATGCCTGCCAGAGATGCTGAGAACAGAATGAGAGGGGAGCTCTGGTTAGCTGGAGGCCACATGGGAGTTACAGAGCAAACCAGTAACCCTTCATATGGGAACTCAACCCCACCTCCCACCCACCCCACCACCAGGGAACAGCAGGTGGAGGCTGAACAGAGGGCTCAGGAAGTTCAGAGAGGAGACAGCCTCAGTGCCAGGAGGTAGAGCCTCTGCAGACAGGGCCTCTTATTTGGACTGAGAAACTTCTTTCCTAAAAGGGTCCAAACCTTCCATGTACTGTCAGGTATTCCCAGGAGCACAGAGAACCAAGGGGGCCATGAAAGAACACCAGGACACAGAAGGCACAGAAAAGGCTAGGCAGGAGCGTGAGGGGCCTCCCCACACCCTGGCAGTGTGGAAAAGGAAGGGGCTGAGATCATGTTCCCTGTCCGTGTTCTTCATTGAGATATGAGGCAGAGATCACTATCTGCCTTGTTCACTGACATAACCCAGCACTAAAAGAAGGCCTCACACACAGGTGGTGGTATTAGCTGCCATCAAGTTGGTCCCTGACTCGTAGCAACTCCACACACAATGGAATGGAAGGCTGCTCCATCCTGCACCATCCCCATGATTGGCTGGAGACTGGACTGCTGTGCTCCACAGGGGTTTCACTGGCTGATTTTCCCAAGTAGATCACTAGGTCTTTCTTCCTAATTCACCTTAGTCTGGAAGCTCTGCTGAAACCTATTCAGCATCAGACCAACACACAAGCCTCCGCTGACAGGTAGTAGCTGTGCTCAAGGTGCACTGGCCAGGAATCAAGCCCAAATGTCCTGTGTAGAAGGCAAGAATTCGATCACTTGCTAACTAAATATCAAGAGAAGGAATGCACCAGTGGAAGCAGAGATGCGGGGACGAAGAGGTTCCCTCAAACACTGCCAGTGAGGTTCAGTCAACAGTGTGTATCAGAAGTTTGGACCTAGGGATCCCACCTCTTACAACTTATAGAGACAAAGGGACAAAACAGGATGTGCATTCCCCCATTGCTGTTGACATTAACCAAACATTGTGTGGTACAGTGAATCAATATGGCCCTTCTAGCCATAGTCTTTGTGACTCTCACACAATGAATGGGTGAAACTATATAAATAAGAAGCTTGTGGCCCACCAAAGGGAATGGACAGCTTGCTGCTAATACAAATAAGGCATATAGAACCTAGGATGGTGATGTCTGGGCCATGATTTTCAGTGGTTTGGCAGTAATGTAATATAATGTAATGATATAATCATCCCCCATTTTTTGCTGTGCCTAGCCTCTGGGTTATGGTTATGGCCTCATTTGGGAGTGAATTGTTCATTATGTTAATGAGGCAGGATTAAGGTGGGATGTATCTCAAGTCACTGCCTTCCTACAGGGTGTGACTCAAGTCACTACTCTTACCCTAAAAAAAAATTGCCATCGAGTCAATTACAACTCATAGCGACCCTTATTGGGTTTCTAAGGCTATAAATATTTACAGAAGCAGACCACTTCATCTTTCTTCCACAGAGCGGTTGGTGGGTTTGAACCACTGTCCTTCTGGTTAGCAGACAAAGCCTTAACCACTACACAACCAGAAGCTCCTTTTACCTTTACCCTAGTCACTACCTTTACCACCCTTATTCAAGTCATACCCTTGCACCACCTTGCTTAAGTAAGAGTTTCCTTGAGGGGTATGGTCTGCATCACCAGAGTTCCTATACACACACACACACACACACACACACGCTCTGGCAAAGCTTCCTCTCTTGCTCTGGATCCTATACCTACCTTGTCATCATCTGACCTCAGGTTCTGACCTCACTTGTCAGCTTCCGTGGCCCTGTCAACCAGCAGACTGTCATCTGACCTGCTAATTTGGGTTCATCAGCCCCTCCAAGCACACAAGTAAGAAGCCTGCAGCCTGACACCTGATGCATGGATTGGGACTTGCCAGCCCCCACAACCATGTGAGCCATTTCCTTGACAGTTCATGAGTTCTATGTAACATCACAGTGAATTGTGGAACCCGGAGACAAGAGGGAGAGTACTGAGGGGAGGAGGGTCAGTTGATGTTACAGAGTATGGAGTGGTACAAGAGTTTGGAAAAATGGGACATTTGAGGCATCTTTAACCTCTGCCTCAAAAGAACCAGCTTTGTGGTGATCCTTATAAAATAAATTATTCATTCACACTGGAAGCAACACAAGCCTCCACCTGTAGAGAACTGATGAAATAAATGTTGGGTTAATATTTATCCATTAAAATAGTGTTGCAGAATAATATTTAATCTGTCCAGCTTGGTTAAAAGAAAATGTTTATTTAAGAGCATGGACAACAGGCTGAAAATTAATTAGTAAAGAATATCTACCTTGAGGGGAGCTCTGGTGGCATAGTGCCTAAGGCATCTGACTGCTAATCAGAAGGTTGGCGGTTCAAACCCACCAGCTACTCCTTGGAGGAAAGACTGGGCAATCTACTTCCATAGAGATGAATGAAACCCAAGGAGGGGTCACTGTGAGTCAAATGGATTCAATGGCAGTTAAGTTTTTTTTTTGTTTTTTTTTTTTTAAGTCTACCTTGAATGTTGTTCTCTTTTAAAGAGCTAGCTACATGGGATCAAACACAACAGCAACTCAAAATATTAGATAGGAGTCTCTGAGAGGCAGTGAGTTTATGTTAATTGGTGAGGAACAACTGGGAAAAGGAGGGTGAGAATGGTTGCACAACTTGAAGACTGTTGTTGTTGTTATGTGCCATCGAGTCAAACCCGACTTATAGCGACCCCTCCTTGGGTTTCCAAGGCAGTATCACTACGGAAGTAGGATTGCCCAACCTTCCTTCCGAGGAGTGGCTGGTGGGTTTGAACCGCCAGCCGTCTGGTTAGCAGGCAAGTGTCTTAGCCATTATGCTACCAGAGCTCCCATGAAGACTGTAATCACTGTCAATGAATTGTACATGTAGAAATTGTTGAATTGGTATGTGTTTCGCTAAGTATTTTTTCAACAACAATAATGAATGAGTGAATAAAAACATCTGGAAGGATGGACATCAAAATTTTAACTGGAGTTATCTCTGGGTTAACAGACTATGGCTGATTTTTACATCTTTGTATCTTAAGACTTTTTTTTTTTTTTTCCTGCAGTGAAGAAGTATTCTTTGTGAGTAAGAAAACAGCATGAGCCTTTGTTTATTGTTTTTATGAAGGAGCAACTAATGTATTACTTAAGGAAGCAGAAAACCAAAGGCCAGACTTAGGGAAGGACTGGCTGAGGATTGCCAGCCTGGTATAACAAATCAGCCTGAAACCAAAGTCCAGGAAGAAGAATTAGAAAGCTGCTTCCCTGTTCCCTCTCAATTCTGCCCCAAAGTTCACACTTTAGTGGTTAAAACACAGGCCATTACTCTCCTTGGCATTCTTCTACCTAATGAGAGTCAACAGGAGTTCTGGTGGTGTAGTGCCTAAGGCATTTGATTGCTAACCAGAAGGCTGGTGGTTCAAACCACCAGCCACTCCTCGGAATGAAGACTGGGCAATCTACTTCTGTAGTGATACTACCTCAGAAACACAAGGAGGGGCCACTGTAAGTTGGAGTTGACTACACGGCAGTGACTTTGGGTTTTGTTTTTTTGTTTGAGTTTTTAATGAAAGTCAATGATGTTATTTTAATTTTGAAAGAAAACAAACATGGCCCACAAAAATTTAAATTTTTCCTCAGTTGGTGCTTGTATAGTGATTATTCCTTTCTAAAAGAGATTAAACCCCCTGACCATTAGAGGCAAGAACTGGGTCCCAAGGGAGTGGAGACAGCTCTAAGCCCCTTGGGGAATGTGGGGCCCTAGAACACTCTACATACCTCAGGTCACAGCTGCCTCTGAAATATAGGCACCCAGGAAAAGTGATGGGCTTCCCATCCCCACCTGCCGCTGAAACCCGGCCACTGGGCTACCAGCCTCCATTTGACTTCCTCCTGTGTACCAGGTTATACTGAGGAGCCCCTCTGCAAAATCTGTTCTTTGTTTGGTCTTTTGTTTTGACAACAGAGCTGCTGTTATTGATTTGATATTGGACAGAAATTGCTTAGGAATAAAGAGGACCTTCCTCTGGCTGCTGGGGGCTTCTTCCAGATGCTAGCTTGCCAGAGCCAAGGCCATCACGGAACACTGATGCAACCACAGCTCTGGTTGGCGTGTGGGGCCAGTCTTATGAGAAGTCCTAACCACACCCCTTCAGCTACAACAGATGGTCCAGAGCAGATCCCAGAGCCCCACAAATATTATTGTAGCAGTGACAGCAATAGTAGTAGCAGCAACTTAAATGTTTTTTCCTGAAAATGTTGGGGTGACAATTGTCCTAGTGGAAAGATTAATATCATCTCAACAAGGCCTAAGTAATATCTAGTCACTGTGGAAAATATAGAATACATATTAATAATTGAATTAATATTATTGTTATTATTTGGAGTCCCAGTGTGGTGCAAACAGTTAACTTACTCAGTTCTTAACTGGAAGTTTGGCAGTTCAAGTCCATCCAGAGGCATGTCAGTAGAAAGGCCTGGAGATCAACCTCTGAAAAACCAGCCCCTGAAAACCCTACGGAGCACAGTCCTACTCTGACACACACGGGGTCGCCACAGGTTGGAAATGAGTCGACGGCAACTAGTTTTCAATTATTGTTATTACTATAAATTAATATTAACAAAGACCTTCAGTTCCATTTCTAGGCATACAAATGCACTCCCAGGCATATGTGTCTATCTCTTGACATTTTTCTTTTTTTTGTTGTGTCTATTGCCTTCTCATCTGTATATCCCCAAGGAGGTAAGTGCATGGGGGCTAATAAATGGGTATGGAAATGAGAAGGAAGTCAGAAAATACCTGAAAAGAAATTTTTTAGAGGTGGGGAGAATAGAAGAAAGAATGACCCACACTCCTTGATACCAAAAGAAGCAGGAGTGGCTCTAAAGAAGGAAGTCAGGCTCCCTTACGACACAGCCCATGACTGTGCTGCTGTCCTGTGACCTTGTCCACGGACCTGAGACTCCCCTCCCCACACATGGGTACTTCCTTAGAGCAGGAACAGCTGCTCAGAAAGGCAATGGGAGGCAGAGTTACCATATAAAACATAGGACACCTGGTTAAATTTGTATTTCAAATAAACAATATTTGGAACTTGCTTACACTAAAAAACTATTTGTCGTTTCTCTGAAATTTAAAATGTAGCTGGTGTCCCATATTTTTATTTACTAAATCTAGCCACCCTAACTTGTGACTTACTAAGAAAAGAACTGTTGTTCAGTGTGGCGCACCTTGGTCTGTCTTCAGATGGTCCCTCAAGGAGTGGGTCTCAGGGATCCATAGAGGAAAAGAGAAGGAGGGGTAGAAGCTGGAGGAGACAAAGGATCTGAGATCACAAGGAAATGTGGACAAGGAACAAGTCATAACTACAGCTCAAGTGATGGGGTGGAGGCTCAAAACTACATCATAGAGGAAGGGCTGAAGGAACTGAGATGTTTAGCTTGGAACAGAACAAGTAAGTTAGGCATGGCTGCCTAATTTAATTGCCTGATCAATTTTCACCAGGAGAGGCAGACTAATGTGTCTGAGTGGCTCCTGAGGGCAGAATTAGGGCCAAGGTGGGGGCAGGTGTAAGGAGTCAGGTTTCAGGCCAATGTGGACTAGGCTGTCAGGGAGAGAGGAAGCCCCAGCACAGACTAGAACTCTCTCTCATATGTGTAGCTTGGACCAACTCAGACTACTTGGAGCATGAAATACTCCCAGGTACTCACCTGGGTTGTCCCCAGTGAAGGCCACCACTTTGCATCCTGGATGAAATCCATAGTGCTGGATGTAATATGGAGAAATGTTTCCCTGTGAAGAAAGAAACAAGCAGGTTCTGTGAGGTAAGGACGCCCCTGGTCAGCGGAGGGAGGGGGGTCACACCCCACAGCCATTCACACCTCAGGCCACAGGAATGCTAAAAGGCTCCAGGAGCTGAAGGGATCTTTTGTGGAGCCCTCAGTCACATCACTCTGTGTCACAAACCAGGGATGTTCTTTCTATTCACAAAATACCAGAGGAGCCCAGTGTGGATTTGAAACCACAAACACAAGGAGATCTGTCTTGGGCTCCAGGTATCCCATTGCCCCAAAGACCACCTGATTTTGAGATTCAAGGCAGCTAGAACAAACCAATCCCTGACTTGTATCTGTTTTGTAAGTTCCAAATAAATAAATAACCAAATATCGGTAAGCAAATTCATGGCAGTACGTAATGTCTTACCCACACCACCATCGGTGGATAATGGGACAAGTGTAGAGGTCAAAGTTCTAAAGCAAACAAACCGAAAAAGGCTGGGGGTTGGAGAACTGAGTCAGCCAGGAGCCATACTCCTCAGGGTCACTCCAAGAGAGGCTGTGGGATCAGAGGGCAGCGACACCCTCTGGATGGATGTACATTCTTTAGAAAGCATAGTTATAAATATAAAACTTTTTCTTCTTTCCCTGACTTTATCTGAGTTGCAAAAATATAAAATAAATGATGGGATTTCATCGTGTCTGAGAAGAACATTTTGCTCCATTCAGCAAAATTCTGGATGTATGTCAGAACAGCCATTTCCTGGGAACATAAATGTCTTGGCTTCAGTTGCCTCAGAAAACAGAGCTAGGAACAAGAGTTTGTGTGCAGGTGGTTTGTTTTGGGGCATAGTCTCAACAGACAGGAGTGGGAAACCAAGAAGAGGGAAACAGGCAAGGGGAAAGAGGGAAAGCCAGGCCAAGGGATGTCTTGAAGAGCTGGTCACCTCTGTAGGCAACCTGTACTCAATCATTTGAAATCTCAGAGAAGATGTGTAAAATGTACTTCAGGACTGTCCACCTGGGGGATGGGAGAGAGGAGCATTTGTCCACAGGCTCCCACCTCCATGGGTAAAGGCTGCCTCCCGGGTGGGGTGAACTCCTTGCATCCCCAAGCTCACTGTTATTTTTCTTTTCCCCAAGACAGCCTGCCTCAAACTTCACAGGTGGTCCCTAGCTCTAGAATTTTTGTGTACTTTTTCTCTAAGGTGTGAAATCACCTAGAAATGATGCTTTCATTTTTTTTCCCATATTCTAATAAATTTGTAGTGGAACTTTCCAAAGCTTTCCCTGCTCCCAATCATAAGGGAGTAATCTATACATGCAACTGAACTAGGGACAAGGCACTGACTCCCACACTTTAATTTGACCTATGTCAAACACTTGTTTTCAACTAAACTGAAAAGAAAATCCCATATGTGTATGTCTATGTGTAAAGTGAAGACTATGTACATGTACTGCATTGCTTTCCCAGTAGATGCCAGCTCTCAAATGAGCCACCTGTCAAAGGCACCTACCACAACTGAACATGATGGCACAGGGGGTCCAAGCTTCTCTCCTAAATGAGGTGCACAGGCACTAAGGCAAGCCTGGGACCAGACTTTGTCATGTATCTGCAACAAATTCATTCCAGAACCTAGGAGGGAGGAAACAAACAAACAGAAGTATCTCTTAAAAAGAATACAATGCAGGTTAATTAGCTCACAGCAAACTTGTACCTGGAGTTCTTCCCTAATGGAATATTTCCAATATGCCTAGATCTTTCTGTGACCAGAGAACCAGAAACTAGCAGGGCCCTTGGAAACACATGGCACCACTGCCTCCTCCCAATATCCTCACAGACACCAACACCATAGTTAGCCTGGATAGCTGCTGCTCCCAGTCCTGACCAGGGAAAGGGGACTTTTAGCAATATGTCCTTGTAGTTCAAAGTGTCTACTCAGAGGCAGCTCTGGTGCTGAGTATGGGTCAGGCCTCAGGGATTCCCCAACCACATCTAACTTTTCTAGGAACACTCAGAGTCCTCCACACTCCCTCATTCTCATCGCTGAGATCAGCTCCTTAGGTCCTTCCCGGAACAATTTACTCCTCCCAAGGGTTCCTTGAGGATGGCAACAGGTAGTGAACCCAGAGCACAGACAGAGGGATCTCCTCCTCCATTAGACAAAATGGAGGGAGACAGAGATGGGCTAGGATGCTGATGATACCATCTGTCCAGGTGAGAGGGTGTGGCAGCTGGCAAATTAGGTGATTTCTTGGGGAGCAGAGTGGAGGGCCCAGATGAGGTGGGAGAACATGAACCTCTGGAATGCCTACTGGGGCAGTAGTATGACTTTCTCCCACAGTGCTTAACTGTCCCATGGTCATGTGGAGAATACAAGTGGACGCTCAGGTTCCAAGTTGAGAGCTCTGCCACCCTGAGTTCAAGAGAGTTGGCCATAGGGAATCTTGTCTTCTCCAGATTGTGAGTGAAGCTTGGCAACCTTCATCAATTATTTTTCCTCCCTGAAAACCAGAATACTGCCTGGCATCCATGAGCATTCAAAACACTTCAGATGGATTCCCATGAGGCCCAGAACATTCCAGGATTTCTTTCTGAAGCCATTTTCATAGGTCTGGGTTCTTGCTTTGTATTTACTTCCCATCCTCCAACCACATTCCTTTTGGTCTAGCTTCATCTAAGAGTTCCTTCAGCAACCTCCTCCTGGCTTTCTTAAACTCCTCACTGGCATCATTTGCATTTACTTTTGTCAAAGTTTTGATTCCAGAAGCTCACAACTCTCATGAGTTCCCTCAAAATGAACAAAAACTTTAATAAATAACCTCTTATGGTAGCCAGCCTCCAAGACGGTGACCACTGATGCACTTCCTGGTATTCATACTTTTGTGTAGCTTCTCCCTACACCGTACCAGGGTTGGTCTGTGTGATCGATAAAATAAGGCAGAAGTAGCAGAATGTCACATCCAACATCAGGTCATAATAAAGGCTCTGCACCTTCTTCTTAGTCACTCGCTCACCACATGGTGGGGGGTGGGATCCAGCTACAATGTCATTAATAGCCTCATGGAGAAGCCCACATGGTGAGGAACTGAGGCCTCCTGCCCATGGTCATGTAATGACCCTAGAACTGGATCTTCCAACCTCAGATGCCTGCAGTCCTGGCCAGCAGCTTGAATGCTACTTCATCAGATATTCTGATCCAGAACCATCCAGCTAAGTTGCTCTGAGAGGCATGGCCCTCAGAACTATCTGAGAATAAATGGTTGCAGCCTTCAGCTGCTAAATGATGGCATCATTTGTGAAGCAGCAAAAGATAATGAATGTATTCCCTGGTTGGCAACAGATGACAGAATGAAATATTGGCAACTGCCCTGGCTTGATGAAGCTCATGCTGCCTGCATGCCCACATGCTGCCTGCACATTGGACAGGCTCTCACCAGGTCTCAGAAGGCTTACCATCACTGTAGTCAATAGGAGAGTAAGACCCAAGGAACAGGGAAGCAGCAAAGCTACTGACCAAAGAAATCCTCTGTAAAAGAAGCACAGTGAGATTATGGCTCACTTTCACATACTCTGAGAAAGTGAACACTTGTAGCACACATACAACAGGACAAGCCTTTTAAATTGTAGAGGGAAGTGGAAACTTGGCACACGATGCCCAAGGAACGGAGATGATTGAGCATCACAGTTAATAGGAGCTGGAATCCCTAGAGAAGACTCCTGATCTCAAGGGGGAAGAATGCAGAACTGAATTTCAAATTCTCAATGGAATTCAGACTTTCTGGAGCCACTGAGGCTGGATAAACTCCTGAAATCACTGCCTTGGGATAATGTTTAAATTTTAAACCAAAATTATCCCCTGAAGTCTTCTTTGAACCAAAAAATAGTTTATCTTAATAAGTAAAGTATGTCTACTTTAAGCATGTTTGGGGGCAGTTAATTATCAATTTACTAATTAGATCAGTAAATTTATTTTGCGTTCTTAATTTTTAAAAATATATTTTATTGTGTTTTAGGTGAAATTTTACACAGTGAATTAGATTCCCATTTAACAATTTTTATACAAATTGTTCCATGACATTGGTTACAATTTTCATAATATGACATTCCCATTATTTTTATTCTGTTTGTTTTGTTTCCATTCATCTAGCCTCCCTTCCCCTCCTTGCCTTCTCACCTTTGCTTTTGGGTAAATGTTGGACATATTACCCATGCGTGATATTGTTTATTTTATAAGCCAATCTATTATATGGCTGAAAGGTGACCTCCAGGAGTGGCTTCAGTGTCAAGTTCAAAGGGTATCTAAGGGCAATAGTCTCAGGGGTTCTTCTAGTGTAGTGTCTATTGGTCCTATAGGTCTGGTCTTTTTTTAAGAATTTGAGTTTGGTTCTAACTTTTTCTTCCCTTCTATCTGCGACATTCTATTGTGTCCTTGGTCAAAACAGTCAGCAGCAGTAGTTGGGCATTGTCTAGGTTCACCCAAGCCATGGTATTTTTTTTTAATGACCTTTTTTTTTAAAAAAAAAAAATATTTTCATTGTGATTTGGGTGAAAGTTTACAGAGTAAATTCACATTCCATACAGTTCACATATACTTTGTCTCATGACATTGACTGTAATCTCCCACAATGCAAGAGCTCCCCTCCCACTTCCTCCCCATAGTTACCTCTTCCCTGTGTCCTTCCCTCCATGCACTCTTGCCCTCCGAGCTGTCACCCTGTGCATACACAGCCCTTCTATTCTTCCATGGTTGATCTCTCCAAGGAGTATATCTACCTAATGTAAATATTCAGTTCATCTGCCTGTCTTTTGTTTGGCTGGAAGCCACAGAAGTGGGTTCAATTCCAGACCTGAAAGGCAGCTAGAGGCTATAGTCTCAGGGGTTCCACCAGGCTCTATCAGACCAGCAAACCTGGTTCCCCATCTCAGGGGTTCCACCAGGCTCTATCAGACCAGCAAACCTGGTTCCCCACCACCACCTTTTTTTTTAAATGATTTTGAGTTCTGTTCCACATTGTTCTCCCACTCTATCCAAGATCTCCTACATAGATCCCTCTCCTAGTGGTTGACGGAAGTCATGGTATTCTTAATCACCTCATATGTATGTGAAAGATGGACAATGAATATGAATGACCAAAGAAGAACTGATCACTTTGAATTATGGTGCTGGTAAAGAATAGTGAATGAATCATGAACTGCCAGAGGAATGAACAAATCTGTCTTGGAAGAAATACAGCCAGAATGTTCCTTAGACACAAAGATGGTGAGACTTCTCTTGTACTTTGGACGTGTTATCAGGAGGGTCTGGTCCCTACTGAAAACACCATTCTTGATAAAGTTGTTGTTGTTGTTGTTATGTGCCGTCAAGTCAAACCCAACTCATAGCGACCCCTCCTTGGGTTTTCGAGGCAGTATCACTACGGAAGTAGGATTGCCCAACCTTCCTTCCGAGGAGTGGCTGGTGGGTTTGAACCGCCAGCCGTCTGGTCAGCAGGCAAGTGTCTTAGCCACTATGCTACCAGAGCTCCCTCTTGATAAAGTAGAGGTCAGAAAAAAAGAGGAAGACCTTCAATGAGATGGATTGATACAGTAACTACAATAATGGGCTCAAACATAGCAACAATTGTGAGGATGGTGCAGGACTGGGCAATGTTTCATTCTATTGTACACAGAGTTGCTAGAGGTCGAACTGACTCAACACCTAACTACAATATTAGTTCCATGGAGTGGTTTCTTCTTTGAGTCTTTGGTTTCCTTCATTCTCTTTTGCTCCAAACAAACAGAGACCAAAAGTTGTATTTCAGATGGCTGCTCACAAGCTTTTAAGATCCCAGATGCTACTCACCAAACTAGGGCATAGAACATTAACTTTATGAACTATGTTTTACCAACTGACTTAAGTTATCCCATGAGACTATGGTCCTAGGCCTTTCAACCCAGCAAACCAATCCTGCAAATTGTTTAGATTTGTCTAGGAACTCTCTGTAACTGTACTCCTATGTGCTTCATATTTATGACATATATATAGCACACACAACAGGTATTTATACATGTCAACAGATACACCTATGCATGCACTCACCTATGCTTCCTATATAAATACATGCATACACTTCTATGTAACCACGTTATTACTGTTGCAAAATTGTATGTCTTATAGCATTTACCAAACTTGTCCCTTATTCTTGTGTACTTCTTGGTGTCTTCATTTACCTTGATCAAATTGTATAGACTTCACCAATATTAGATATTGCCTTTCCCATCACCAAAAATAACAAGTGTCTATTATCTAGAAACTCATTCTCCTTCCCTCCCTCTTCTATCTCTGGTTACCATCAAAGAACATTTCTTTCTGAGTGTACATCTATTCATGAATGTTTATAATAGTGGGACCATACAATATTTCTCCTTTAGCGATTGACTTATTTCATTCAGCAGATATAGTGTCCAGATATAACGTCCCATGTTATAAGATATTTTCTGGGCTCCTCATTATTCTTACAGCTTTGTGTCTTTTAAAGAATTATCTACATGAAATCAAATTGACAACAGCAACTCTAAAAGTCGGAGGAGAAGCTTAAGGAGCAGTGAGTTTAACTCAATGGTGGTGAAACAATTTGGAGAAGGATGGTAAGAATATTTGCACATGGTAAAGAATATAAGAAATGTCACTGTGTTATACAAAATTAAATTGTTGAAATGGTGTATGACTATATATTTTCACCAAAAGAGTATCTGGAATCCCAAGAACCAACTCCTTAGTGTAGCACTTCCCTCTCTGCAATTTCTAAAAACATCAAAAACAAAAAACCCTGTGAAAAAGCCACACTTCGGAAAGTAGGTTTTCCAGCTGGAATCTAAATGCTGGGGAATGTGGTGCTCGGATTTCCTCCCTCTGTTTCTCTGGTCTTTGCATTTGGTCACAAGGAAGTGGAATGTGGTCAGTGGACTCAGAACTACCAAAGACAACAAAGACAATCGGGGGTGGTGGTGGGGCAGTGTCTCAGTAAGTGAAAATTAGCCCCTTGTAAGTCACAGACCCTCACAGGAACTGAAAGAACTATGTTGAAACTGTTATGAGTTGCAATTGACTTGGCTCCAATTCATAGTGATCTTATGTTTAACAGAATAAAATGCCCAGTCCTGTGCCATGCTCAGGGAGCTCTGGTGGCATAGTGCCTAAGGCATTTGACTGCTAACCAGAAGTCTGGCTGGCAGTTCAAACCCGCCAGACACTTCTCAGAAGGAAAGCTGGGAAATCTACTTCCATGGTGATACTGCCTCGGAAACCCAAGGAGGGGTCACTATGAGTCAGATCTGACTCCACGGCAGTGGTTGGGTTGGTTTGTGCCATATTCATAACCATCGGTATGTTTGAGACCACTGTTATAGCCATTGTTTCAATCCATCTCCCTGAGGATTTCTCTTGTTTTCAGTGATCCTCTAGGAAGAATCACAGTGGATTTTAAATGTCAGCCTGGGTCTTTGCTTCCACATGGGAATCACAGGCTCTTGGGTCAGTGGAGAGAATGCCATTATCACCTTCCTCCACCAAGTCCACCTTGTTCCACACACAGAATTTGGGGAGATTTTTCATCCTTCCATTCAAAGCCGATATTAATGGCTAATGCCACAGAGTAATTTAGAACCTCAAATTATCGAGAAAGAAAGTGTATGCTAATTTCCAAGATTTAAAAAAGTTACTTTGGGTTCAAATGAGCTGAACATGTTCAAATTACTCAGAGATGAAAATCACTAGCCAGGGTGTCAAGCTGCTTCTCATGTAGCTTGAAGTGCTAACTTTTTAGCAACTGTGGGTCCAGGAACAGATGTGGGTTCCTGTGACACAGGTGCTGCTTGGAGGACTGCAGCTGGGGACACAAAGGTCCAGTTTTACACATTTTCAAAGAAAAGAATGACCCCACACCAATCAAGTGTATGGTGGCCATCCTACACAAACAGTAGAGGAGACTGAGTGAGCAAAGCCTAAAGGGCACCCAGATTTCCTAATCAGGGGGTCAGAAGGAGACACCAGGCCCCTCTGCTCTCACCCTGACACTGGCCCCTACCCTGTCTGCCATGTGAACCCAACTTCTTTCCCACCATTCCATGCTTACCCTTTTTGGAAATAGCCTGACGATGGAAAAAAAAAAGAAAGCAAATTGAATAACATCTACTATCCAATGTTTTTAGCCAATGCTAAATGTATTGTAAAAGAAATCAAATATGTACGCTTAATTATGCTGAGTTAAGTAAGTCAGTCACAAAAGGACTGACTCCTTACATGAAATAGGCAAACAGAAACCAGAGCTCATTAGCGGTTACCAGGGGTAGGAGTGAGGGGGAAAGGGAGAGTCATTGCTCAGGGGCCACTGAATTTATGTTAATGGTGGTGGAATAATTCAGAAAAGGATAGTGGTAATGGTTGCACAACGTGACAAACAAAATCAATGTCCCTCAATAACATTTAAAAAAAATGGTTGAATGTAAAAATTGTTGAATTACCAAATGTTTTGTTATGGATATTTTTATCACAATAAAAAATAATCTGCACATGAACATTTCACCTACCTCTGTTTGTGAGTAGGCCTCAGGGTTCTGCTGGTAAATCTTTGCAATCTGGTTTCCTGTAAAACGCTGGAAAAGGAGTGAGAATTCTTAGTTACCTAAATCCTACACAGCATAAAGGACTGACTATGTAAAGTGAGCTTAGTGTGGTGACTCTGGATATTAGTTAGTATCAGACAAGCTTTTCAGAGGCCTCAGAGCTGAAAAACACTTGACATCTGCTGAACACTCAAAACAACAGGATTTTGGCCTTTGAGTCCTTGCTTTTGGTAATCTAATACTCAGGTACTAAATAATCACTCTGCACACAGGCACTAGGACACTGACAAGGTAATTCCGCAAGCCTTCGCAGAAGGGCTTCTCACAAGTCAGAGCCAGATAAATTTTTAGTGAATAATCCTTGCTCTTTACTCACTATGGTAACCAAGGGCACCAGTGCAGGGCACTGAGGGATTTTCTCCCCACATTTTTCTCATTTCAAGTGACCCAAGTAAGGTTGAGAGACTCTCACATTCAGCTGTTAGTTGAAAGGCTAGAGGTGTAAGTCTACCCAAAGGTACCCCAGAAGAAAGGCCTGGTGATCTACCATTCTGAAAAATCAGCCATTGAAAGTCCTAGGGAGCATAGTTCTACTCTGACACATACTGAATTGACCCAATAGCAACTGGCTGAGAAGGCTTGGTGCTAGCCCCAAAACTTCTACTCCAGTGAGTGCTGCATGACCCAGGCTGGGCTGACCATAGTCAGCTCTAGATGGCAGCTGAGGCCAGCAAGAAAGAGGAATTCTGTTTTTTTTTTTTTTTTCAATCACTTTGCCAGGCAATGCACTAAGTTCTGACATGTACTGATTCCTGTCAGCATTTGTATAACTGTATATAAGTCCTATTTTTATCCCCAGTTTACACAGGATGACACTGATTTCCTTTTGCCACCCCCATCACGTTCACACCTCAGCTCTGACCTGGGATCACATACAGAGGAGGGCTACCCTTGCTCCCCAGTTAGCAAAGGAAGGCAAGATGGTCTTCGCAGAGCCTAGGCCTGGCTCCATAGAGCCACCACACAAATAGCCTCACAGGATCCCCACAGAGGCAGGTCACCCAGCTCTGTCCTCCTAGGCACCCAGGAAGCAGGGAGACCAAAGCCAGCCTCCAGCCCATTCCAGGCACCACCTACCTCATAGGCACGGGATCCTGTGAGGCAGCTGAGAGCCTGCGCCCCACCCATGGCAGCCTCCAACTGACGGCACTGGGCTGTGGTGCTAGAATCCATCCACACCGGAGAATTGCTGATAGAAAAACAGGCCTGGAAATAACAAGTAAAGGAACTGCGGTGTAATAAATTAGTGTGGCTTTTCTAGCCATAAGTCTTTGTAAACTCTGTGGTGGAATTTGCTGTGAGCAACTGAGGAGCTCCTGATTGTAAAAGTTATCCACCTGGGGTATTTCTGTTGCGCATAACACAAAGCAATGTTTTGGGAGGTTCCTGCTGTCTCTCAGGTGCTTAGAATTCTGGTGTTATGATTGGCTACTTTGGCCACTCTGCCAGGCTCAAAAGGAGGCCTCTTAGAGGCAGAAGAAGTCTCTCTCTGACTGCTGGTTGAGGAAGACATGCTGCTGAAAGAGACACGTGCTCCTGAAAGAGAGACACACTGCTGGGAAAGACACATAAGCGACACGCATTGCTGAGTGAGACACCAAGGGATACTCACTGTTGGGAGAGAAACTGTGGGCTGGGAGAGAGACTGAGCGTTTTTCCTGAACTTGAATTGTAGCCTGGTGCTTCCCCAATAAACCCCGTAATCTGTGAGTTCTGTGTGGGCACTGCAGTGAATTATCGAACCCAGGAGAGAGGTGGTGAGTGCTTTGGGTAGAATGGTTGGTGAAAGCGCTGGAGGGAGGCAGCATGTCTGGCCTTGCAGGAATAGGCGTTGGGTTACTGATGGTGATTCTGTCTTCCTCTTGTGTGGTTACAGGAGGTCAGAACACGTGGCCTCCTTGCCCTTTTTGCAGGCACAGACTTGAGCCCTGCCTGCCAACGCTGGAAACCACCCCAGTGTTGGTGGTCAGATGGCTTAGCACAGCAGGTATGAGCACCTCTTGCCTGACGGGGCCTTGGAAACCCATGGACAAGCCCTTGTTCCAAAGCTTGGCCTGGCCCATGGAGTCTCCCCCGCAAGAAAGCCCAAAGTAGAAAAGTTCTTTTGATGAGAGTGGGAGCATTGCAACAGCACAAAACGTGGACCCACAAAGATTCTAGCTGCAACCAAAGGCAGGCTTCACAGGGTTTGGATCCAGAAGAAAAGGAGAAGCTGAAGCCTCTGACTTCCCAACAGTATCGCCAGGAGGCATCATGCTCCTGGTGAGATTCCCAAGAGGAGAAGTGACCCAGAGTGGTGCCCGGCAGGAGGGGCCCACATGATGAGGGTTACTGCAAGTGCCCTGTCCAGACACCATTGTGGGAGGCAGGGCAAACCAGGCTCAGACGATGATGGCTGAACCTACCTACCTTACACCCTGGACAGTGCATAAAAGCCCCAGGCTTCAGGGTGTGGGGCCCTTCTTCCCCTCACCACAGAAACATTTCCTCTACAGCAGGTTCTCAAACTCCTACAACATGGGGATAGTTACCTCTAGCTGCTGGTGTAATGGGATCTCTGGTGACAGGCTTGTCAGTGTCTGGCTGGCCCCAGTCTTCCAGTATATGCTTCCATGTTGCTGTCAAGGGCAAACCCAAATATGTGTTCATACAGCCACACACACATGTGCCACAGCTCAGAAAGACCCCTTGGCCACACTGCAAAGAACTGGGTTCCAAGCCTGCCCTCGCCACTTCTTTATCTCACAGCTCATTGCCTTTATGAGACTCAGTTCTCATTCTTATAAAATGGGAGGAATCCTATACTGTCCATTTCAAAATTTGTAGGAAAGGTCCAAGAAATAATTATTTGTCTGGACTTTGGGTGTCTTTTGTAAAGTTGTATTTAAATATGTTGCTCACAGTATTACCTGAAATTTACTCATTCATTCACTCACTCTTTCATTCATTCATTAAACAATCATTTATTGAGCACTTAGGCCTTGCCAGGCATGAGACAGCATAAGGGATACAGATGAATGGGATATTACTGGGGACACTGGTAGTTAAGTGGTAGAATTCTCACCTTCCAGGTGGGAGACCCAGGTTCCATTCCAGGTGTCGCCACCACTCACCTGTCAGTGGAGGCCTGTGTGTTGTTGTGATGCTGAACAGACTAAGACCAGGAAGAAAGATCTGATGATCAACTTCCAAAAATCAGCTAATGAGACCCTACAGATCACAACACTCTGATCCCCAACTGATCACAGGGATGAAACAGGACCGGGCAGTGTTTCCTTCCATTATGCGTGGGGTTGTCATGAGTCAGGTGCCAACTCTAGGACAGCTGTTGTTGTTGTTGTTATATGCCGTCGAGTCCTACCCAACTTATAGCAACCCCTCCTTGGGTTTCTGAGTTAGTATCACTACGGAAGTAGATTGCCCCATCTTCCTTCCAAGGAGTGGCTGGTGGGTTTGAACCACTAGCCTTCTGGTTAGCAGCCAAGTGCCTTAGGCACTATGCTACCAGAGCTCCTCTAGGACATCTAGCAATGATAATTTTTCAGGATACCAGAGTTCAGTCAGGGAAAAAGACACAAATGGACAACCACAAAACACTGTGAGCTGCAGTGCCAGGGCCATGAGAACATAGAGAAGTACCCAGGCAGCTGGGGGTGCAGATGGGTAGACGTGGACATGGATATTTGGAAAGGACTCCCAGAATAGGTGTGAGTGCTCTGTGCAGAGAATGCTCAAAAGTCAGAGAGGGCCTGGCAGGGCCAAGGAGAGAGGCATTCTGACATTCTGAGCAGTGGGCCTGTGTGGATGATGGGGCTGGAGGGGCAGTTGGTGGCCTAAACACTGAGGGTCTTTAAATCTATGCTCAGGAGGTTAGTTTATTTTGGAGGTGATGGATGCCCCAGATTAGCAGGGAGTGAGGTGGCCAGGGATGGATATATGAAAGAGCTTATCAGAGTCATGCAGAAGTCACGCTAAAGGCAGGGAGGTTGGGCAGAGACTCAGAGAAAAATGACAGACACCTGGCCTGGGGAACAGAAGCAGAGATGGAGAAGAAGGGGATTCAAGAAACATGCCGAAATGAACAGGATGTGGGGGTAGGGAAGACTAGGGTGACAGCTGAGTTGTGGCCCTGGGTGGACAGGGGGAATTTCCTGAGAAAGGGACCCAAGGAAGAAGAGGTCTAAGGGAAGATGGAGCACTCAATTTGGGACAAGATCAATTTAAGGTGTTTATGGGACACCCGGTGAAGGGGGCCCAGGTGGTGCCTAGGAGGCAGATAGGTATCCAGGCCTGCAGTTCCAGTGAAAGAAGTACACAAGATGACCCAGGTAATCTCTATTTAGTTTAACAAGGACGAGAACAACAAACTACTGTTGGGTTTGAGGTCAGGGGAGAGAGACATAACTTCAGAAAAATCAGTGAAGGCTCTCTAACGAGGATGTGAGTACACAGTAATTTGGTGTGGAGCCAAAGTGACTCCAGCATAGCAAAGTGATCCGGACAATGAATAAATGGCAATGATAACAAAGACTGGAGGTAAAACTTAAATAGAGCTCTTTAGGTACTAGGCACTGCTCTACTCATTTAAAACTCACAACAATCCTATGGCATATGGAGTTACCAGAAGGCTGGGTGACTTGCCGTGGGTCACTGCTTGTAAATAGCAGAGAGCCAGGGAGCCAATCCAGGCAGTCTTCCCAGAACCCTTGTGCTAACCACTCCACAATACCACCTCATAGTGACATTATAAGGGTGAAGTTAGATCATGTATGTGAAGTGCTCAGCATGGCACCAAGCAGTACTCAATGTTCTGCTATTTTTATTACTACTATTTCTACTACTAAAATGACTATCATTCTAAGTATAATTTCTTTCTTTGCTTTTATTTCCAAAAAATAAAAAGCAATTTGAATTCCCACAACAGTCATAATAAATTCCTATCAAATGCTTCCTCCGTCCCCTCTGTTGTTACCTGTCAAGTTGGCACCCGACTCAAGGTGACCCCATGTCTAAATGGGATCAGACTGTTGTGATCCACAGGGTTTTCAATGGCTGATTTTTTAGAAGCAGATCACCAGGCCTTTCTTCCTAGTCCATTTTAGTAAGCTCCATTGAAACCTGTTCAGCATCACAGCAACACACAAGCTCCCACAGACGGACAGGTGGTGCAGTGCAGAAGGTGCGTCGGCTGGCATGAAAGGTCAGGGTTCCACCACTGAACTCCACTGCCCCCTTTCTATCCCCTTTGTTGTTATCACTTGCCACTGAGTCCATTCTGATTCATGGCAACTCCACGTGTTTTGAGAACCTCTTACCAAGTATCCTATTTTGTATAATGCTTAATCCTAAGAATTGTCTTAGATCCTTCTGGAAGGAGGTAAGTTATTTAACCTCTGAAGCAAAACAGTTGTAGGGATTTTAACTAACAACAAAATGTGTTCAGTAGCAACAAGAACAAACATCTTCCCTCCTTAGGGGTGCTATCACCTTGACATCCAAATCATTGCCCGAGACAGCTGGCCTCACATGGTAGAAGGAGGCTGCTGGAAACGAACCTGGCCTGCCCCAGACAAGGCTAGGATTTGAGAGAAGTCAAAGCCCAAAGCCTTCATCTTCTCTAAGATGATATCCAGTGCCTAAGAAGAAAAAGAGAATCCACTGTGACTGTAATAAACCACTGAAATGGGCAAAAACACAAGCCTCAAAGAAGAAATGTAAGTGTCTGCCATGATTGGACAAGAACTCTGGGACACATAAAGAAGTAACTGATGACTCAGAATTTTTTAAGCATTAGAATAAACTAATTAAACAAGTCGTCTCAATCAAATAAAAAGGTGAACTACGCTAAAAACATTTTAAATAAATAGAATCATAAACCACCAACCATCAAATTCTTATTCTCCAATTTGTGACTTAAAAGCACTCAGAAAATGCAAAAACAGGATGGCACAAATTTGGTTTCTTTTATTTGCATTTTCAACCCACCATACTAATGATCTAACTTCACTGTAACAGAGACTTTGCAAAGAGCCAAGGTGGAGGGTCCCCATCAGAGCAGGGCTCCAGGCCTGAACTCCCTGAGTGCAGGAACGCAAGACTGGAGTGTTGGGAGGGAGTGGGTGGAGATGGTGGCCATTTTTTCAACCCCCACCCTACTCTGCACCATCTGGTTGGAATTTTCTTTCTAGTAAGACCTCATGGGTGGGATGGTGGCATGCCTAGCAGAACCTGATATTTCACCTAAGATTTCAGAGCAGGAAGTTAGAGACTCATCCCAGCCTCTGTGTCTTCCTTGAGGGTAGAGAAGACAGTATCCCCTCCAGCATCTGCCTGAGCATAAGGAACCCACTCTATGGTTGCAGGGTTCCTTCAGCCCTGGCAATAGCTGCCAAAGCAAGCAGGAAGTGGGGCACAGCCAGAGTAGGAATTGGCAAACCTAGGAACAAGACTAGTCCTGGGGGACTGTTCAGGATTAGAAAGCACCCAAGCCTGGCCCACCTTGACATCATTACTGAGACCCCCAGACACTGACCATTGCCTATAAGCCTCCACACCTACCACTGCCCCTTGGTCTGTCTGGCTCAGCCTCCTGAAGTGTATTCCTGCCAGCCTGTCTGGCTGAAATCTACCCTTTACCCCAACTTTCCAATGTCTCAATCAGGGTCAGGCTGATAGAAAAGAGATCATACTAGTTATTTTAACAGAAAGAATTTAATATAGGGAATTGGTAAAATGGGTATTGGAGGACTGAAAAAAGCTTTGACAGACACACTGAGCACTGACTCTGGCTGGCCTCCAGATTCAGAGAATTGTGTCCTTTGTGATATACAAGGCCTTTCTGTGTGGTATACACCCCTGGTCCACCAAGATCTGGCCACTGGCATATTCCTTTCTCATTGGTCCTGAATAGGACCTGTTATGGCTAGTCAGGCCATAAGCCACTACTGAGGGCTGCTGCCCAGGAAGCTAAGAAGCCTGGAGGACTGGGCACTAAGATCCCAAGGGCTATGTTTGGATCTAAGGGTGCAAGGGAGGCCATAGGGCCAAACTGCAGAGGATTTAGAAAGATGTACTCTGTGGTATATTACAGATAGCACTGGGGTTGCTTGCCAGCCACTGGGGCTCCAGAACCTAGAAGTCCTCTGTGAGTCCTCTCAGTGTGAAACAGGACTAACCCAGCTGAGCTTCAGCCTAGCCCCAGGAACCATGCTGTCTCCCTTCTTCCATCAGGACCTGGTCTCTACAGACACTTTCATGAGCTGCCACCTTTGGGTTTCCTCACAAATCACCAAACCTGCTGGGTAAGATGAGCTGGAGGACAGAAGAGGGACAGGAACCCCTGTGCTTACCTGGACCCACATCAGGACAGGAGAAGTGACCGTCAGCCCATCCTCATGAACATGTACACCACCCTGGGTCCTACAAGGATAACAAAAGGTTGGTGGTTCAAACCCACCCCGTGGCTCCAAAGAAGAAAAACCTGGTGATCTGCTCCTGTAAATCTCACAGCTTACAAAACCCTAGGGGCCAATTCTACTCTGTCACTCGGGGTTGTTATGAATCAAAATCGACTCGACAATGCCCAATAATGACACAGCTCCCTCTTGCATATTTGAAGCTCTAAAATATCATAGTTTAACAAAAAAAAAGTTGAAAAATATAAAGCAAGCAATGGCTCCTAAGAAAGACCACCAGAGCTACCCACCCCATGAGGCCCAAACAGTTTCAGAGCTCTGGTAGCATAGTGCCTAAGGCACTTGACTGCTAACCAGAAGGCTGGCGGTTCAAACCCACCAGCCACTCCTTGGAAGGAAGGTTGGGCAATCTACTTCCATAGCGATACTGCCTTGAAAACCCAAGGAGGGGTCGCTATGAGTCGGGACCGACTCGATAGCACATAACAACAACAATAAGCAAACCCTTAAAAAACAAATACTTCTAATATTACTTAAATTGTGCTGGAACACCTAAAAAAAACCCCACAGAAACCTTTCTCATTCTTTTTGTGAAGTAAATATAAAATTAGACACCAAAATCTGACAAATACTACACAAAAAGCATAAGCAACGAAAAAAAGAAAAAATTAGATTTTATCAAAACTAAAAACATTTGTATTTCAAAGGACACCATGAAGGAAGTGAAAATAAAACTCACAAAATGGAAAAAGAGTTTTGAAATCGTATACAATCAATTCCCATTATTCATGGTAGTCATGGTCTATGAAGTTACCATGGATAATGAATTAGTGAATACTGAACATTTAGTCCTAGATGAAACACAAAGTCAGGATCTTGTGAGTCTCTGGTCACATTTTTGTCAACTCGTCTATCCATAACTTTTGTTTTATGTATGTTTCTGCTTCAAGACACCTTATTTAATATGCATTGTGGATTCATTACATTGAACTCATGACCAACAGCACTATACTCATGCCTGAATGAAGCATATCCAACACATGTATTTTGTCCATAAGGCACATCACAGCCGTTTTGCACTTAACAACTCTAGACAGCACTTTAGCACTACACTTGGGCCACTTAAACTGCAAAATAATGAACAAAAAGCACAAAAGTGTGAAATGTGGCATTAAATAGCCCTTGTAAAGGGCACTTGTTTACAGTATGGAAGCTGAGAAAAGAAAGCAGTGGAGTCACCTTGTTCACCCTCAGCTGGGAATGTGCGTGTCAGGTGACTCAAATTTTCTGCTGCTCTGCACATTTATAGGGAAACATGATCAAAAATAAAATCTCCTGCCAACCTAGACAAACCCTCCACACAACTAAAGGAGAAAAAAAAGAGTTTTACTACTGAATAAGCATTAAACCAGAATGGGCTGTGCATCACAGTCAATCCACTAAAGAGACCATAAAGACAGAAAGGACTTTTACCCTTTTATATAGCCAAGCAGATGCAACCCACTTCATACATGCTCTCAAGATAAATGGTAGTTGTCAAGCAGGAAGCGTTAGTAGCACCATTTGCCTTACATAAAACCCTCCTGCCATCTAGTCAATTCCAACTCATAGTGACCCTATAGGATAGACAAGAACTGCAACTGACTGCTTAACCACTTCACCACCAGGGCTCATTCACAGTTTATTCTAAATTCACTTAGTAATTGGGGTAGCCACCTGTTTAGTAACTGCCTTTATCCAAAGGCAACTGTAAATTTCTCATATCTTTATGACCAGAAGGTTTGCAATTTGGAGCAAAGTGGAGGATGTTGTTGCTAGGTGCCATGGAGTTGATTTTGATTCATAGTGACCTCGTGTGAAGTGTTTTTTTGGCTGCAATCTTTTCCTTCCTGGGTTCCCCGTTTCCATTCACCCTTCCTTCCTGCCCCTTCTTGCTGATAATCTTTAAGGAGCAGATCGTCAGGCCTTTGTCCTATGGAGACGCAGGGTGGGTTCAAATCTCTGACAGCACTGCACCACCAGGGCTCCTTACCACCAGGACAGGAGCTGAAATTAGGCTCCTCTCTCCCCAATAAACAGGGAAAAAAGGGATGCCTGCTTCCCTGACTGACTGCATTTCAAAGAGATGGCTTCCAGGTAGTTAAGGACACAATCCCGGGTTGTAAAATTGGTTATGTAGCCTTTAAAAAGATTTACATATACTTTCAAGAGGCAGAGAAAGAACATATAGTTACAAGTTGTCTACAGGGGGAAAAAAAAAGGAAGGTGGGGGAGACAGGGGTCTCTTCCTTTTTTTCAACAAGGAAAATTAAGCTGCTTTCTCTTGTTTTTTCTTTCTTTCTCTCTTTTTTTTTTTCTTCAAATTTGCATTTACCCTTACAGCATGTCTGCCAATGACTATCAAAGTGCCAGAAGTATTGATTTTGGGGTTACAAATTAATTTCACCCAGTAGGAAAATTCACAAATACAGAATTGTGAATAACAAGGACCAACTGTGTCTGATTCACCAAGAAAATGGGAGAAGAGACAGTGTAGAGGACCGCATAGGAGGTTTTTATGGACTAGATCTCTTAGAAGCATAATCACTTTTGACCATTTTCTATCGATTATGGCTGAATATGACTACCAGGAAGGCAGGGAAATAGACTGTGTACCCAAGAGAAACAGGAAATGGGTTTGTGGGATAGCTGGTCAATCAGCTGTAAAACCCCACTTACGATACAGGCATACCTTGTTTTATTGCACTTTGTGCTTTACTGTGCTTTGCAAATACTGCATCTTTTCATAAATTGAAGGTTGGTGGTAACTCTGCATTGAACAAGTCTATCAGCACCATTTTTTCAACAGCGTGTGCTCGCTTTGTGTCTCTGTGTCATATTTTGATAATTCTTACAACATTTCAGTTTTTCATAATGCTACCGCACACTTTATAGACTAAAGTACAGTGTAAACATAACTTTAATATTGACTGGGAAGCCAAAAATTTCATGTGACTTGCTTTATTGTGATATTTGCTTTATTGTGGTGATCTAGAACCAAACTCACAATATCTCCAAAATATGCTTGTAGTAGAAAAATAAAATAGTTAGAAATAAATGTAAAAATTATCATGTGCATGGGGTATTTTTGCCATGTTACAAGTCACCTCAAAACTTAGTAGCTTGAAACCACTAATCTCACTTAGCTCCCAATTCTGTTGGTCAGTCATTGGGCTGGGCTCAGCTGGGTGGTTCTTACAGTCTTTGCTGGCCTCACTATGTGACCTGACAAGCTCTGTTTCTGAGGGCTGGCTGGCTCTTAGCTTGGGAAATAGAGATGACTAGGCCACTTTTCTCTCATCTTCTAGCAGGCTTGTTCATGGGGTGGCTGAGCAGGGCTCCTCGAATGGCAGCAGAAGCAGGCAAGGCACAAAGTCACTTCTCCCATGTTCTACTGGTAAAGCAAGGCACAAAGCCAGTCCAGATGCAAGGGCTGGGGAAATGACTCCATCTCCTAATGAAGCCACAAAGTCATGTTGCAAAGGGAATGGATACAGGGAGCGGGGGAGAACTGTGGTCATTTTTGCAATTTACCACAAAATCCATGTGTCAAACATGGTAAAAGAGAGGTGAACAACTCAACCTTTGGACTGAAGCAGAGCTGCCTAGCCGAGCCACAGGCCCATGAGTGAAAAATAAATGTTTACTATTGTATGCCACGGAGATTTTTGGGTTTATTATGCAACAAAGCTGACTGATACAGGTAGTGAGATGACAAGCTAATGGTGGGAAATTACAGAAAATCAAAGAAGATCCACGTTTTCGTGGCCTCCAGCTCCACTGGGAACTGACTGTAGCCCAACATCTAAAATGACACACTCTTCCTATTTGAGGGAGCAGGCTTGTGACAAGTCAGTCACTCTTGACATTACCTTGTTTATTCCTTCACAGCATTTTTCTCACCTAAGCATTTCTAGTTTTCTGCTTGTAGGTTTACTGTCTGTCTCCCCTAATCAGATTATAACCTCCAGGGGAAAGGGAGCAAAAATGAAGCTTATGAAAAACAATGAATGAACACATTTCCATCCTTTTCTGATGATCTCAGGTAAAGTAAAAAAAAAAAAAAAAGACCTGGATGTATCAAAAGTCCAACATTAAAGGCTGTGATGAGAGCAGTAGTGGTTCAGCGGCAGAATTTTCACCTTGTAGGAGGGAGACTCAGGTTCGAGCCCCAGCCAGTGCATCTCCTGCACAGCGCCCACCCATCTGTCAGTGGAGGCTTAAGCATTGCTGTGATATGGAACAGGTATCAGCAGAGCTTCCAGACTAAGACAAACTAGGGAAGAAGGGCCTGGCCACCTACTTCCAAAAGCCAGCCAGTGAAAACGCTATGGATCACAATGTTCGATCCACAACCAATCACAGAGATGGTGCAGGACTGGGCAGGCTTTCGTTCCATTGTGCACTGGGTCACGATGAATCAGGGCCAACTGGATGGCAGCTAACAACCACAGAGGCTGTTATACAAAGACGAGGACATTACCTAGAGAATATTTTCAACCATCACACAAAATATCATTTTCCTTTGAGTGTCTTTTTGTCTCTTCAGACTACTGTGAGATGTCCTGGTATTCTTGTCCTTCTCCCTAAATCTGCAGTCCCAGGCTGACATCAGCACAGCCACAGTAGATTGTTGTGTTAATTACCACTGTGTCAATTATGAGTCATGGTGACCCCATGTGTGCAGCGTAGAACTGCTCCAGAGGGTTTTCAAGAGCGTGACCTTTCAAAAGCAGATCGCCAGGCCTGTCTTCTGAGCACCACTGGATGGGTTCAAACTGCCAACCTTTTGGCTGTTGTCAAGCACTTAACCATTTGCACCACCCACCCAGGCACTCAACGTCACAGCAGATGGGGAGTAGAAAACATAATGAATTTGAGAGTCAGAGTTCTAATTTGCCACTTATGAGCCAACCAAGTGACCTTGGGGAAGGCAATGATTCTCTCCAGGTCTACTTTCTTAAT